TAATAGCAAAAACAATCTGCTGTTGGGAAACTAAAACTTTTGCTTTGTGCCCAATTACATTCTCTTGCATGCTCTAAAAGCTACAGACAGGTCTGGAGGATTCCATCAAGTATGTCAGCAAATTCACTTAGGGTGCACAAACTGCTTTGATGTAGGAAGCACTGACTAGAACCCTCAACTAGCATGAAATGTAAGAACTTAGTAGGAAGTCATCATATACCAGCAAACTTCACTGTTTCCACTCTTGCTCCCTGAATCTCATCCATCACTCCACTGTAAGATTGAAAGCCCCTCTCAATGCTCTCAAATGCCTAACTCATAATCCCAGGTACTTACACCATACATTCGTGGTTTCTATTGCGTAGATCGTGTTTGACTGGTAGATCACAGACTGGCAGTTGATCTCATTGTCTGGTCAATTCCCTCACTATGCACGTCTCTGACAGTTATTATCACTGCCAGCCCATGTTCCCTAGCCGCCTGCACACATTACAGTTAATTTCGCCGCCTATCCACATTTACTCACCACATGAATGTTGTTCGGCATGCCGCATGACTTCTGCTTTTGAAACTGTGCTTAGAGAAAAGTACACGCTCTTAAGGAGCTTTGGCAGATTTTTGCATCATGTCTCAGTTTTGTTCAGATGGGCTATATTTATAGGGGCAAGTTAGTTTTGGGGTGGCAACGCAAACAAATGAATTAGAAATATGCTAGGAACTGATGTGTGATATATTAAATTCTAGAAACATTGGAGATTATTAGCCCACGTCTATGCAGACTTTCTGCAAGAGCAGCTCAGCAAGTCCCGCTCCTCCCTGGCACTGCAGGTCTTTCACTTCAGCTTATTTAATTGGACAGTAGAGAACAAAGAAAAATTATGGGGACTTCTGCCACGTCCCACATTCAATATCTAGGCAACACAAAGTGACTACTAGGGTTCTATAAACAGCAGCCAACAATATTCTTGATGTACTAGAGGCGCAGATCCAGAGGTCTACCTGCAACATGACCAGCAGCAGATGTCGCGAGCAACAAGGTAAAGCAATAATGATGGAGTGATAAACCTGGACCATCTAAAAATCAAAAGAAACTAAAAATCTGTAACGTCCATGTTGAATTGGATGGGGCAAGTAAAATCTTTTCATGTTGTGAACAGAAAAGGACATTTGCCTTACATATCACCAAAGTATATCAATAAGTAAAAAGGGGAATTTGGAATGACACCACAAAGCCACATACAAATTCAAGAACATTTTTCCCTTAAGCAGTGTGCTATGGACAAGGAAACAATGAGGTGAAGGAATTTTAAAAGCTCAGTCATTTTTTCTGAACCATTAGCAAAAGACAAGGCCTGCAAAGAAGTTCCATTTTACATTTCCTATGGTGAAATAATTGAAGTAGTAATGACTGTTTCCATTGACTCTTTAATCAAAGACTTTAAGAGCAAAGAATCAAAAATAACAACAGCCATCCTGAACATACTTCTTGGTACTTCCACAGTAGCAAGATGAGCGAAATCTTTGTCTGATGATGTCTTTCAGCAACTACAGCTGGATCTTAAGGACTGTGAATGCTTCTCACTGCAGTTCAAAGAGTCCATCAACATGACTGACACAGCCCAACTGGTTGATTTTGTGCACATGTTTTAAAAAGGACATAACAAACAAAGGATTGGCTTATTCCTCTGTCCCTTAAAAAGAGGATATCTACAACAAAATTCAAAAACAATATACTTGTGAAGAACATTCCAATGACAAGGGCAAAGGCAAAAGTTTAGTTTCCCAACAGCAGATTAAGTTTTTGCCATTGTTATTAGACCTTTACAGGAGGCTGATGATGCACCAGCTAAGCTTGACCCAAATGCAGGCTCTGTTCCATTTTGCAGAAATGATCTTGATTTCTCTTCCCTTCCCCCACCACCAACTACTCCTGTCAATTCACCAGCAAGCACATTTATGGATTTTCTAATGTAATTGAATTTGTTAAGAGTATAAACTCAATTTCAGCAACAGCCCTCCAGCATTGCTTGAATAAAATCTTACTCGACCAACCCGATGTTGCCTACAGTGAACTCATCGTTCATGCTGATGTGAGGTGGGTGAAATCGAGGGAAGGTCATGTGAAGACTTTTAGATCTGATACCTGAAAACATCATTTGTTTTAAAAATCAAGGAATGAAACATGCAGTAACTGTCAGACAATGCATAGTCAGGTTCTTTACAGACAATATCAAAACTGAATGAGCTGAATGGTGAACTGCAGGTAAAGGGCAAAGGATCAGCAGATATGATCAGTATTGTGAATGGATTCAAATTGAAATTGGCTGGTGGTCCTCCTAATTAACAAGAAAAGTGTTGCAACACTTAGTGTCTCGAGAAAATAGCAGGAAAAGATAAAAGACATCCAAAAAACCTCTATGCGTGCCTGAGAAAGTTAGCAGAGGAATCCAACAAGCAATTTCAGTAATTAGATGATGGAATAAATCGTCACGTTTATTTCAAATCTATTCCTTTAAGTAGACATTAGTGGCACGGCTACCAAATTCTACTGTTTGATTTACAAAGCAGTGGAGTTGATATGGAGATAATTATTATGCAAAATGGGCATAAAGTCAAATCAAGGGACAGTGCTTTTTGAAAAATATCCACTATTGTCTTGTGCTTTTAAAGTGAAAGTTCACTTGACCCCACATGCATCTGTGAGATAGTGTTCTCCTAAAGGTAGATAATCAAGTCCAAGTGTCACACCTGCTTCTCAGATACCCATTTGATGGGCTGTTTACAACAGAAGATCTTCAAACTAAAGCGCAAACTTCAAGGCACTGGAAACTCAGGTGCCACACTGAGACCTCATGATTAGAAGACAAAATGCATAATTATATACACTTGATTGGAGCTTAATATAGCACTAAACAGACCGCCGAAAGCATATTTTCAAGGTGACTCCTGGATTGCACTTCATTTCAAAAAACATTCCTGTGATTAAAAAGGTTGGAGAAATCTGCCATACATCACACTTATTAGCAACCCATTACCCCAATTCCCCCTTTGCAAGAGAGGACCTGTGGCGTGGGAGGAGAGCGAGCGTACGAGAGCGAGAGAGAGGGCACGAGAGCGAGAGCGAGCGCGAGCGGGGGCATGACAGCGAGTGAGAGAGAGGGTGTGAATGAGACAGAGAGAGAGAGAGAGACAGAGAGAGGGGGGTGGTGTGAGAGAATGAGATTGAGAGAAGCTATGAGAGAGGGGGGAACGGACAGCTGGACGGAGGACTGCAAGGGAAGAAAAGTGATTTCATTTTTATTTTAATAAAAGGTGTTTGCAACATACGAGGAGCAGAATGATTACCTTCAACTGATTTGTGAAATGGTCTAAATATACCAGTGTTGAGGAACCTGTCCTATTTAATTAGTTTAGCAAATTCCACTAAATGGGACCTGAGAAAAAT